CTATCTTCAGCATAGTCAGCATCACAGAATCCAACTAATTTATATTCATCAGATCTTCTGTAACACAGACCCACGTTAGTAGTACCTTTCAGATACCTTAGAATCCTCTTAATAGCTGTTAAGTGAGATTCTCTAGGATCTAATTGGAATCTAGCACATAGACAAACACTGAATAAAATATCAAGTCTAAAAGCAGTCAAATATAAGAGAGATCCAATCATACCTCTGTAAAGTTTTTTTATCAACTTTCTTAATCACCTCTTCCTTACCAAGTGTGCTTGTAGGATGCATAGGAGTCTTTGCTAATTTGCTTTCATTCATATTAAACTTCTTCAGAAGCTCTTTGACATATTTAGTCTGATGAATGAATGTACAATCTGGAGTCTGATTTACTTGGATTCCCAGAAAGAATCTGAGTTCTCCCATCATGCTCATTTCAAATTCAGCCTGCATAGACAAAGCAAACTCCTTTCCCAGCATAATATTGGTAGATCCAAATATAATATCATCCACATAAATTTGACAAATTAATAAATCTTTCTTAAATGTCTTACAGAAAAGAGTTGTGTCCACTTTGCCTCTTATAAAGTTCTTTACCAGAAGAAAATTACTTAATCTCTCATACCAAGCTCTGGGAGCTTGTTTTAAACCATAAAGAGACTTATTAAGTTTGAAAACATGTTCTGGAAATTTTTCACTTTCAAAACCAGGAGGTTGATGGAAATAAACTTCTTCATCTATAATACCATTTAAGAATGCACTCTTAACATCCATCTGATATAGAGTGATGTTATGATGTGAAACAAAGGAAATAAGAAGGTGTATAGATTCTAACCTTGCCACTGGAGCATAAGTCTCAGTGTAGTCAATTCCTTCTTGTTGACTGTAACCTTGAGCTAAAAGTCTAGCTTTGTTTCTAACAACTTCTCCTTGCTCATTTAGTTTATTTCTAAATACCCATTTTGTTCCAATAATGTTGAAACCTTTTGGTCTTGGAACCAGATCCCAGACGTCATTTCTTGTGAATTGATTCATCTCATCTTGCATTGCAAGTATCCAATCATTATCACTCAGAGCTTCATCAACAAATGTTGGTTCAATAATAGACACCAACCCCAAAAGTGACGTTTCAGATGATTTGAGAAATGACCTTGTTCTGATAGGGTCATCCTTCTTTCCAATAATCACATCTTCTGGATGTGAAACTTTGATTCTGGATGATCCTTTAACTGTTGGTTCTTCAGAAATATTCAAGTTACTCATCTGAGCAGCCAAAGGAGTAGCATCTGGTGTGGCTTCTTCTTGAGCTTTATCTGCTTCTGATTCTTCAGAGTCTGTGAGAATTACTTTCTATCTGCAGAGTTTTCAAGCTGCTTTGGCTTTTGATTGCCAAGCTTATCATCAAATCTAACATGAATAGATTCCTCCATAATCTGTGTTTCAGTATTGTACACTCTGTAGCCTTTAGAGCATTCAGAATATCCAAGCATGAAACACCTTTGTGCTTTAGAATCAAACTTGTTAAGATTCTCTTTAGTGTTTAATATAAAACATATACATCCAAAAGGATGGAAATAAGAGATGTTGGGCTTTCTATTCCTCCACAATTCATAGGGAGTTTTTTTCCAGAAGAGGTCTAACAGACACTCTGTTCTGAATATAACATGCTGTGTTTATTGCTTCTTCCCAAAAATGTTTTGCCATATTAGTCTCATTGATCATGGTTCTGGCCATTTCTTGCAATGTTCTATTTTTCCTCTCTACAACTCCATTCTGTTGCGGAGTTCTAGGACAGGAGAAATCATGTGCAATGCCATTTTCATTAAAATATTTTTCAAAATATTTGTTTTCAAATTCACCACCATGATCACTTCTGACTTTCACAATTTTGAAATCTTTTTCAGTTTGGACTTGATTGCAGAAGTCAAAGAACACAGAATGTGACTCATCCTTGTGCTTTAGGAATTTTACCCATGTCCAACGACTGTAGTCATCAACAATGACCAATCCATACTTCTTGACTCTGATGGATGCAGTTTTCACTGGTCCAAACAGATCAATGTGAAGTAACTCTAATGGTTTTGAAGTTGAAACAACTTTTTTAGATTTGAAAGAAGATTTTGAAAATTTTCCTTTCTGACATGCTTCACAAAGATCATCTGAGTTGAACTTCAGATTAGGAAGTCCTCTGACCAGATTAAGTTTATTAATCTGAGATATACGTCTCATATTAATATGACCCAATCTTCTGTGCCAGACCCATTGCTCATCATTAACAAACATAAGGCATTTAACATTCTGAACTTTAAGTTCTGAAAGACTGATTTTGTAAATGTTGTTTTTCCTTTTACCATTGAAGAGGATTGAGCCATCCTTTTGACTAACAACCTTGCAACACTTTTGATTAAAGATTATGTCATAACCATTGTCACTTAATTGACTTATGGACAATAAATTATGAGCTAATCCTTCAACTAGTAAGACATTAGTTATGGAAGGAAAGTTACCATTGGCAATGGTTCTAGAGCCTATTATCTTGCCCTTCTGATTTCCTCCAAACTTTACATCTCCTCCAGATCTAAGCTCCAGGCTTTGGAACATAGACCTTTTTCCCGTCATATGTCGTGAGCATCCAGAGTCCAGGTACCATGACTGGAGTTTTGACTTCGCTGCTAAGGATGTCTGCAACATAGATGATCTTATCCTTAGGTACTCAGATTTTCTTGGGTACTTTTTGGTTAGTTGCCTTAAAGCTTGATATGAACTTTTGTCTTTTAGCATAAGACTTGTTCTGATGAACTTTAGTCTTGTTAACTACATGAGTGTTCTGATTAGCTTTAGATTTATTAAACACAAGTTTGTTCTGATTAGAACTTGTGTGTTTAATATCATTTAAATGACCAAATGTAAACTGAGAATATAAAGGAGGATACTTGATATCCAGTTTATCAACAGGTTTTGGATTTGAATCCTCATAAGAAGAAGATTTATATCCAACACCTTTTCTATAGTTTCTGCTAACACCATAGATCATTGAAGCCATTTTGCTTCTATCTAGGCTTTTAGTTAGAAACTTCCTGAAGCTATAGTCATACTCTTGTAAAATATTTTTAGAGCATGGTTCAGGTTTTGGATCAGAGTTTTGTTGAGCAGCTTCTAAATTAATTTTTAATTGAAGATTTTCAGCTTTCAGCTCAGCTCTTTCTAATTCAACTTTGTTATTCTCAAATTCAACATGCTTCAGAAGCTCTTTGTATTTGAGTTTAACTTTGCTATAGTTTTCAAAGATATTAGATAAACTATCAACAAGTTCTTTCCTAGAAATTTCAGCAAATACCTCTTCAGAATCAGATTCTAATTCTGATCCAGATGATTCAGCATTGTCTTCTATGTCAGCCATGAGTGACATGTTAGCACATTCATCTTCTGACTCTGATGACGAATCAGATGCATCTGAGTCATCCCAGGTGTAATACCCAAATTTTTACCCCTAAGATCCCACATTTCATTGGCATATCATTCCACAAACAAGATCTTACTTTGTGTTTCTTATTTACTTTATGTTTGTTTCTGTTTACTAACATTTAATCAAAATACCAAAAATATTTTTTGTTCCTTCTTCTCTGTGTGTTTAGGGTTTTGCAGGGAGATTGATGGCAAAGACATTCATTCAAGTTTAAATCAGATGGACGTTTGACCTCATCTTGGTCAAACTATCAAGAGATTTCTTTCAGTGTAAATTGGTTGTGGCAGTGGGCTATTTTCTCAGGCAATGTGTTTGTTCAAGGTCAAGTTGTCCTGTATCACAATTCATCAAGCTTTCAAGCAGTGTTCTATGAGAAGTTTGACCCAGTTTTAATCAAAGATTCAGAATTTTGTCTGTACAAGTCAGGTTTGGTGGATGTTCAAACAAGATGTTTGTTTTAGGATACAAGTCCAAAGTGCTCATTCAAGTGTGCCATTTCCAAGTGATTTTAAAGGATGATTGAAGGTTGTCAAGAGTTTAACAAGACAAGATGATTGCCACAATTCAAAATCCAATTTTTAAATGTCAATCAAAACTGATGTTGTGCTGGTACATATAATGTTAGACTTTTTGATGATTCAGAGAAATTCACAGTTGTTGACAGACTCACTAAGGACACTGGAACCAGCATCCATTTCTTTATAGTCTACACAAAAGAGGCCAACGGCCGTGAATCCAACACTAGAACTTCCACTGCATATGGTGTTGCTTGTCATGATGAAAGAAATAAAGCTGCTATAATGAAGTCTGGAGCAATTTATGTTCTCACCGACAGGATCTCGAATTGTTGCTTACAATATTCTCAGATAAATACAAAGAAGATAGCATGCTAATTTTCCTGGTATTTTAAGACAAACATCGAGTAGTAACTCTGTATTGGAAATCCCGATCGATGCTAGTTATCCAGCTAAACGCCGCGATGCAGTAACAGAAGCCTGCTCCTATTTTTTTTTTATAAAAAAACCTGTATACTTCAGCAACTCACAAGTGGAAACCAACAATTTATTTCCTTGAAATGGACGGAGCCCGCACTTGTGGAAGTACTCGTTCACTATTTGGATGCTAAATCCTCTCTTGAAACTACTTCGGGGCTTACATTCTCTTTGGTCTCCATCTATAAGTCAAGCTTTACCTGGAGAGATCAAATCTGCTATGGTCATGAGTGATGTTGAGAGGTTCAGTCTTCTTGGAGAAGAGAACCCTAAATTGCAAAAGAACCCTAAGGATGTATACGGTGAACCAAATGAATCAGATATACGAAATTGGTTTAAAGGCATCAGAGACAGTGGATATAATGTATTGGGCTTGTCAACAACCATTGGAGATTCGTTTTTTTCAAAAATTTGGATGTACACTCCGTTGTTGTTGCCTTGATGGAGAATATACAGTCAATGGAGTTCAGACATTTGAGGCAGCTTGTTCATTCCATTTTGATTCCTTTGGTTAAACACTGTCCTGTGGATATGAGGGAGAAATGGCTGAGAATTTGGGAGGTTCAGTAGAAAGGTCAAGCTTGAAGAGACTTAACCTCAACGTCGATCCTCCCGAAACCGACGACGACGATTCTCCACTTCTCCCTCCTCCACCTACTGAAATCACCAGGTTGATAAACGATGAAAACAGTCAAGATAAGAGTTTGTTGTTCAAAGACACTGATAGTAATGAAGGAGAAGTTAAGAAGTTGAACAAACCGGGGAAATACCGTTCCAAACCTAGTAAGACGGATTGTTCTATTGATTGTGGAGTTGATGCGGATGGTGATCAACATGTTCAAGGTCCTCTTTCTTCACGGGAAGAAAAAGTTAGCAGCATGAAGACTGGATTGGTTCATGTTGCGAGGAAGATGCCCAAAAATGCTCATGCTCATTTTATACTAGGCTTGATGTACCAAAGATTAAACCAACCTCAAAAGGCTGTATTGGCGTATGAGAAGGCCGAAGAGATATTACTCAGGCCTGAGATTGAGATTGATAGGGCGGAATTCCTTTCTTTAGTTCAGATTCACCATGCACAGTGCCTGATAATATAAAGTTCATCAGAAAATAGTTCTGACAAAGAACTTGAACCTCATGAACTTGAGGAAATTCTTTCTAAACTGAAAGAATCAATGCAATCAGATATCAGGCAGGCGGCTGTATGGAATACATTGGGTTTTATCCTTCTTAAAACTGGGCGTGTGCAGAGTGCTATCTCAGTTTTGTCATCCTTGTTGGCCATTACACCAGAGAACTATGACTGCCTCGGTAACCTTGGAATAGTTTATCTTCAAATAGGAAATTTGGAGTTATCTGCCAAGTGTTTCCAAGAGTTGATCCTAAAAGATCAAAACCACCCTGTAGCTCTGGTCAATTATGCTACCCTTCTTTTGTGTAAATATGCTTCAGTTGTAGCAGGTGCTGGTGCAAATGCTTCTGAAGGTGCTTCGGAAGAACAATCCACGGCTGCTAATGTCGCTAAGGAATGTTTGTTAGCTGCAATTAAAGCAGATGCTAAATCAGCCCATATTTGGGCAAATCTTGCCTATGCATTTTCTATTAGTGGGGATTATCGAAGTTCCAGCAAGTGCTTGGAGAAGGCAGCAAAACTGGAACCCAATTGCATGTCTACTCGATATGCTGTTGCTAGCCATCGAATGAAGGAGGCAGAAAGATCTCAAGATCCAACTGAACTGCTTTCATGTGCTGGAAATGAGATGGCTTCCATAATAAGAGACGACGATTCATCCCTGGTTGAGCTTCCAATAGCATGGCCCGGGCTTGCAATGGTTCACAAGGCTCAGCACGAGATATCAGCGACATACGAAAGTGAACAGGATGGGCTGAAGGAAATGGAAGAGCGTGCTGTTTCCAGTCTAAAGCAGGCCATAACAGAAGATCCAGATGATGTTGTGCAGTGGCACCAACTTGGCCTTCACAATCTTTGTGCTAGGCAATTCAAAACATCACAAAAATTCCTCAAAGCTGCTGTTGCCCGTGACAAAGGTTGCAGCTATGCATGGTCTAACCTCGGTGTCTCACTTCAACTATCCGAAGAACAATCACAAGCTGAAGAAGTATTCAAGCGGGCTTTGTCTTTGGCGACAACACAAGAAGCACATGTGATACTATCCAATTTGGGAATTCTCTATCGCCATCAGAAAAAATATCAACTTGCAAAGGCTATGTTTACAAAGTCGCTTGAACTAAAGCCCGGGTATGCCCCTGCATTCAACAATCTGGGTCTTGTTTTTGTTGTCGAGGGTATGTTAGAAGAGGCCAAGTATTGTTTTGAGAAAGCACTCCAATCAGATCCAATGCTTGATGCAGCCAAGTCTAACTCTATCAAAGTTGACACAATGTCGAAGCTGTTAGGATACTCTTAGAATGTGGTGCTAATGTGGAATCCCTAGTCAAAACAACCAGCAAGGCCGAGTACCTTCCTATACACATGGCATGCCGTCTAGGCTTACCAGCTATAATTCAATGCCTTATTGATTTTGGTTGTGACTTGAATTCTTTAACAGATTCTGGTGAGACAGCTCTGATGATTTGTGCAAAATATAAACAAGAGGAGTGTCTTAAAGTCCTAACAAGGGCTGGTGCTGATTTTGGCTTGGTGAATATCGCATGTCAATCGGCAAGTTCACTTGCTGAGTTATACAACTGGTCACATGGTTTTCAACAAGCAGTGTTGAGTGTAACTAAAAACGGCAAGATATCCAAATCCAGCAATACTTCCACCTTTTCTCCTTTGATTTTTGTATCTAAGGTAGGAGATACTGAAGCATTGAAAACTGTCATTGAATCTGGAGAGTTTGATCTTGACTATCAAGATGATAGTGGCTTCTCAGCTGTTATGCATACAGCCGTGAAAGGTCATGTTGAATCATTTCAATTGCTTGTATATGCCGGAGCCGATGTAAAGCTGTGCAATAAATCTGGTGAAACATCAATAATGCTATCTGAATTGAATAATAAACTGTGATTTATTTGAAGGTCATGCTTGAATTCGCACTTGAAAACGGTAATAAAAATACTGGTGGCTTCTATGCTCTACACTGTGCAGCTCGTCGTGGGGATTTGGATGCGTTTACATTGTTGACCAACAAAGGTTTTGATGTCAATGTTCTAGACGGAGAAGACTACACTCCACTCATGTTAGCAGCAAGGGAGGGCCATGCTGTTTCTGCAGGATTTGCATTGGGTTTTGTTACACTGGAACAGAGCGAAAATGGCTCGAAATTGAGGTTGAGCTGAGGAAACAATTCATCACTTATCCAAGCCATATTGCAAGCCATGTGAATATAATATCAGCTGACCCCACAAGCTTTCCACGTCACTTAAGTGAGCTGAAAGAAGAAAAAGCAAAACGACATGAAAAGATATCAGCAAAAAGTCACGCTCAATTTGCATCAGAAAACGCAATGAAAGCACGTAAACGGCAACCAAATATTTTAGTTCAAATTGCAAGAAATCACTCACCTCTTCTATAAATAGAGAGCCTTATTCACTCTTTTCTTCAAGCTTTTCAAGCCAAAAAATCTCTGCTGATTTTCTTCCTCAATTCCTCAATACAAAACCTTTTGCTCACATTCTCTTCTCATACTTCCTTCCACCAAATTAACTTCAAATCAACCTCAAACACAGATCAATTCAACCAGAGATTCGTTCAGAAGAAGAAGAGAAGCAAGAAGAAGTTTGGAGTGATTTCTTACCTGAGTTTGAAGGTAGATTGAGCTTCACCGTCATTTTCGATCCGTTACCTTTTGTTGTGATTCTTTGAATTGTTGGTACCATTGTGAAGAGCTCTTGATTTCGATTGCAACCGCGTATTTTTCGCGTCCCACCGTTGTGATTTAAGCAAGCATCCATGGCCGTGAATGTTTTCGCGTGTGAGAGCTAGAAGAAGAAGATAACTCTGTTTCGTTTTCTCTTTCTACTTTTCAATTATATTTTTCTTTTATTTTTTTTATTTTCCTTTTTATTTCTTTCAGAACTTAACTGTGTGGATTTTTCCACATTTTTCTTTTATTATTAAATTTGTATTTTAATTTCATTTTTGAAAAAGCTTTTAAAAAATTATTTAAAAATATTTTGATTAACTGTTGATTGTTTTGGATCTTGATTTTGATAAGATTTCATCAATATCAATGGACTTTGGGTGTTGATTTTATCCACCAAGAGAGGTGATTGATATTGACGATAATTAAATCGATTCGAGATTCAAATTGTGATTTCATTTTCTTTTTTCTTCTTTTTATTTTTGATCGATGAAATCTATGGATCATAGATTGTTGATTATCAAGGTTGATTAATCTTCATTATTTCAAAACTATGGACGAATAATCATTGAGATAATTCTCCTTACTTTGGAATAGTGATAGATTACCTTTGATTAATTGATGAAAAATCTTGATTATGATGAGATCACCACCTCTTTTCTTTTTGTGTGGCATGTTTTAGGAGAGTGATTTATATATCATTTCTCTAACATGTATTAACACTAACATTTTATTGACCGGCCTCAGATAGTCGTGGTTTCTACATAAACCCGATTACGATTGCTTAACATAGCGCTAAATTGTCCCTTAATCGGAAAATGATCATTCGTGGCTCAAACTTACGTTTAAAAGTCCAAGTATGTTTAGTTGCTTGTCTTAACTCCAATACCTATGAAAATCATTGTTAGGAGGCTTTGATTCTATCAATCCTCTAATGAATTTTCATTAATCTTGGTCTAAGTGCAAGAATTAATCATCATTGATCATATGTTCTAACCACTAACCACTAATTCACTAACAATATCCTTGTTTAATTTTGTTTATATTCTCTTCTTACTCTTTATTTTCTTACTTTTATGCTTCCATTTTATCATTACATACCATATCTTTGTTTATGTTTATGTCATTTTTCTTTTGTCCACTTGGACCATACTTTGTTCAAAACACTAATAAAGGATAAAACATCTAAAAAATTTGGTGCTATTAATTTTGTGGTTATACTCTTGGACCATTCTTAGACCTTGGACTTCATGGACATTTTGGACTTAGGATTAGGACTTTCTTCCCTATGCTTGGAGAATTTTGAATCTTAGCCTTTATTTGGCTCGATCACTGGCTTATACTTTAAATCGGATGGAATTCTTTTTGCTTGCTTTGGAGTGTGCTACAAGTCGGTTAGATCTTTCTTATCTCTAGCTCTTATTTTGTTTTTTTAGGATAGTCACTTCATCTCCTCCCCTTCTTAAATTTTCAAAACTTTCTCCCTTTTTCAAAACCTTCTTGGTTTCAAACTTCAAAACCGCTTTCGCAATAAAACCTTGACTTTCGTCAAGTGATTTTTAAACTTTGTTTTTCTTAATAAAAGTCAATCAATGTTAATCATGTTTTGACCAATTTCAAAAGACATAAAAAATACAAAAACTCATCAACTCTTTTTGTGCCTTTATGCACTTTTTCACTTTAAAACTTTTCATAAAGTTTAGACATGATTCATTTCTATAGTTGAGATGTAAATCTCCTATTCCCCATATTATTAAGACTTTGACATTTTCCACGTTGATGTTGAGTGATAGTCTTGTTGATAATCCAAGCAAATCCTCCATCTTTATGTGACGCAAATGTTGTCTTAATACTCGTGGGTGGATAGTCGCAGTTTTTTCTCCTTGAAATGACGACTTGTCTTTACATCTAAAATCAATCAAAACCAACAAAATTTTGTCATTTGTACCACGAACTACGGGGTTTTGATTCCATATTGCACTTTATGGGTACGTAGGCATGAGACGATAAGTCTCTCCAAACACAAAAATATAAAAAATAATTCTCTTCTCATCTCCCCAATCTCTTTTCAAACAAACCATTTTCAAACCAAAAAGCGTAAATATTTCAAAGGGCTCCTATAGAGTACTATAGACGTTTTGGGTGCTAACACCTTCCCATTGCGTAACAAACCCCCTTACCCCGATCTCTGTCTCGTGTTCTTATTTTAGAACTCTTAGGTTTTGTTCGCTCTTTTTCCTTTCCTTTATTTGGATAAAATAAAAGTGCGG